AAATTTCCCACACTTGCATATATTCCTTTTCAAAAGAACACATGCCCTTGAGTTTATTTTCACACTATGAAAGCAAACTTGGGAAAGTGGCCCATAGCAGCACTACCTTTTGATGTGTGCCATCTTACTTTCACCTGCTATTTCTATTGTCCATGTCTTTATGAGTTTAATCCCACAAATCTGACTGTTGAATGAAACTGGTGATTTTCTCTTTCAGTCCAACTGAGACAGAGCTGCCCATATAACTATCTAAATGGAAAATGGTCTGGCTGACTATTTCTCAGGATTCTCTGTGCCCGTACAGATGGCAAGAGACTTTGGCTAGAGGCCAAAGAACATTTATTTGAAGGATTTTCTGCAAATATGAACATATTATAAGAGCTGGACTTGTAAAAGCAAAGTTTAGATCTCATGTTTGAGAAATACATTTTCTGGGTGGTAGAGAATGAAGAAAATGTTACCTAACTTATTACTGAACGCTTGTGAAATACTTAATACTCATAAAACCAGCAGCATGCCAAAGACAATGGAGGGGATCCTGCAGTGGGTCTCTGTATGTTTCCTTGCAAACCTATGCCAAAGCTCCTTAATCCTGGTCTTAATTATTTCAGTGGAAGGCATTTGCTGAACGAAGAACTGTGACTGTGTCAAGTCTGTGCACAGAGGTTTGTGAGGAGGCCAAAATATCCAGCCAGGGTGGAAGCAACCAGGTCCACCAATACCGTAGCATTGTGGCTGAGCTCCTAAGATTTTAAATGGAAGGCCTGATCCATGCAGCTTTTCCTACAGGAGCTGGGCACTTGACTCCCAAATAAATCGCGGTGAAACTAAAGCTTCCTTGTCTCTGCCCTGCTGTCACGTTCATGAAAGCCTAATTATTATCCAGCTGGCAATCCGAAAAGGGGTATGTTCACACAGTTTAATTCTTCCTCCTCATGTTCACACAGTTTAATTCTTCTTGCTCAAATGAATCCTTGTAAGCTAGCCAGCCAAGTGCATTCCGTCTCTTTTTTTACAGAAGTACATGTTACGCCGATTGCTGGGAAAAAGGCTGTGCAAATTTTTGTTTGTGATCAGCTTCATAGGTAAGCGTTGGCATCCTAGGTGCTGAGACCCATTCTTTGCTACTCTGCGCCCTTCTAAGGTTCCTCTTCAAGGTTTGTGCTGGTGGCAGTTTACGGCTCTGCGTCATCAGCTGCATTGCATGCTGTGATCTGGCTTTCTGCCTCCCTGCTTGGGTGACTGAAGCTTTTGAACTGGACCGAACCGACTGCCAGCTGCTGGATACGAAGCAGCCTTGCTCACTCACAAATAACCACCTTCTTGTTTGAGTAAAGGTACTGCTCTGAAAGTGAGTCTTTGCTTGTGCACTTGAGCTTACTGAAACCTGAAGGATGGCTAGCTGTAGACATGGGAAGCAGCATGGCCTGAGGATTAACTGTGGGGACTTTGTATGTATTAGTTTAATTAATGATAATAGATGCGGTATTCTTAGTTATGTGTACCAGTATGTACTCTTCTGCAAGGCTCTTTGATTTTTTGGAGTGGGATGGTCACTTTGCTGAGTGTACACGTGTAGAGCAGCGTGCGAACAGCTGGCTGGGTGAATTTTGGGGCTGTTCAAAATTTTACTTCCCCCTTGAGGGGAAAATCTCAGTGGCCAAGTATCCCAGTTTGTCTGTTATGGGTGACTGGTTTTGTTTGCAAGCTACCCTGACTTCCTAAGGATTTCTTGCAGTTGTTAAACATAATAAGTGTTCCTGCCCCTTCCCAATGCTTTAAATCCAACAAGCACAATGTAGAAAAGAGCTTAAGTTCTTTCTAATGAGAAGCAGCCAGGAACCATGCTGGCAAGTCAGCCCCTTGAGAACAGGCTGTTCTCTGCACTCAGATGTTTCATAGACCAGAGTTTTTCTTCCTCATACCAAAAAAAAGCCTTAACCAGGCAGAATTTGCTGCTCTGAAATGCTGAGCAGACAGAAACCGTAACCACTTCAAAACCTAGCACAGAGGTTGGACATATATGGGGACTGTGAATACATCCAGGCTGTGCACCCTTCGGTTGTCTTCCAACAAGAAATCAATGCAATTACTTGACAGCACAACAGTTGTCTCTCCAAAAAAAAAAACCCAAACCCCAAAAACAGTTGTGACTGTTGTGTGTCTGTCTGTGCGGTGCCATGCAACCCGAAGCAGTCTGGCATCTGGCTGCCAGCTGGCTTGGGTCTGCTGGGAACATAGCAGAGGTGCTCGCTTCAACCGAGAAAACTCGAGGTTCTGGATGGCCCTTTAATTGTGGGTTCTTGCAAGCACTAGGGATTTGTAGTCTTGCTCCCCTCAAAGGGCCTTCATCATAAATATGTGTATGTATAGTTAAGGGCTGATACCATGCCTAGTGAACACCCAAATTTGTGTTATGTCCTAAAGCCCTCGGACTTAGCAGTAGTGAAGTTACGGCTACGAGCTGTTGTCAAGGGAGGACAGGACTGATTTGATTTATAGCAAGGACAAAAGCAGTGTGGCTAGTGAGCCACCTTCTCCTGGGGACCCTTGGGGAATTCTGCACAGACACCATGCTACTGGAGAGGAAACTCTTTCCCCTCTGGGTTTCCTGGGAGCTGTGAAGCCTCAGGGCATGAGCCCTAGTCTTTGCAGACTTCTCTGCTACACTTTGTTTCTCTGCTGTGCGCAGACTGTGGCCCTAACCTGAAGACATACTCCTTCTTTATGGCCTGGCTTTTCTTCTCCCCTAAGCAAACTTCTGTTGAAACATCTGACCTTTTCACTCAACTTTAGAGCTTGCTGCTGGAAGAGACAGGAATGGACAGTACCCCAGCAGGCTGCTGGAGGGCCAGTTTCAGCGCAGCACACAAACATACACAATTTCAGGCTTATTTTTAGCCATGTGAAGTCACTGGTATTCTTCAGAAGCTAAGCTTAAACATGTGCTTTGTGTTTCTCATTGGATTGGAGACCGAGGACAGAACACATTTTCTTGTCAGCTCTGAAAACAATTCCTGGGGAAGAAAAGAACATCTAGTAAGAACTAATGAATACAAATCTTAAGCAGTAACGCTATTTCTCCTGCAGGCTGAGGCGAACAAATGCATAAGAAGAAGAATACAGAAGAAAAGGGAATGGCCAAATTATTCTTAGGAAATACAAGCTAACACAGCTGTCAAAGGTACCAGACATCTCTGGCGATAATTTTGAATATGTGCTATTGCTGTGCCAGAATTTATATTTCTCGGAGTAAAAACGGATGCTGGTGTAGGGTTTCTTTTTTTTTGCTAACATCCCAAGTGCACCACTGCTTCACTTCAATCAGCATTCACTATCAATACCGTGGCTTCTTTGCTTCAGTTGCACAATCTGACCATAACTGATTGCTTACAGTTATTTGAAATGTGGCTTTTCTGCTGGCAATTACTTTATTTACTGCTTGCCTGTAAAACAGTAATGCCTTCTCTGGTGGGCACAAAGGCAGATTAGCATCAGTAATTACTAAAGCAGATGTTTGTTTGTGAATACCCATTTCTTAGAGGCAGATTACCTTCTGCATTGGCATAAGGGAACGGGGTTCAAATCGAGTGATGCTGTCATCCCTCAAGCAATGTGAGCAGCATGCGACTCGGCAGAGGGCACTGGGTGCTCTCCCCACCTCACCTCCATCGCATAGGAATCGCTCTCTGTAGGGTGACAGTCGCTGACCTTATTGAGATCAGTCCTAAGAGTGGTTTGGCATTTAATTCCTGGAAGTGACTGCCAGTGACTGAACAGTGCTACTTGCACTTGCTTCCTGTTGTGGTTTTTTCCCCTGTTCCCAGTTCTCTTTCAGGAGAGCTCAACACCTGGATTGAGGGCATGTGTTTCCTAATAGCTCCATGCCCGTTGAATTGCCTGAAAGTTGCACTCAGCACTAAATGCTGACCTTATTTAAAGCAGACAGTCATTAGCTCCTTCCAGGCTATGGTGAAGAGCAAAGGAAGCATGGCTGTGTTTCTGAGGGACTGGAGGAAGGGTCCACACTAGTCCAGTTGTACTGCCAGGACTGAAACACATTCAGAGCAGCCCTTTGGTGCTTTTGAAGCCTGTCCTGGCACATAGTGTTTTTCAGCTGAAGAATCGCCTTGCAGTCTGTCCAGAAAAGCCACCCTTGGCTGCTTCTGGCGAGAGGTTGCCAGCATTTGAAGGTGTGTGTATGTGCAGAGAGTTGTGGCGGTGGTCCTGGTTCCCTGGGGACTTTCAAATCAGCTGCCTAGATTTGAGAGACCCCGCTTTTGAAGCCGAGAGCAAAAATAGGGCCCCAATTCTCTTTGTGTGGACAAGTCATGGCATTGCCTCCATTCCTCTCCTGAACAAAAAATGCCTCTGCATGCCGGAGTGGACAGAGGTGGCCATGAGTCTCAAACAAAGGCACTGAATCTAAGCTGCTATGGGATGGGTTCGTTTCCATAAGCAGAGGGCACTCTTCAACAGCAGTGAAACGGCTTTGCCCTTGGTATTGAATCACTCTCAGCCCCATCTCATAAACTGCTGACTATCTTGCTCAAGAGGCTTTCAGCCTTCGAAAGCAATCCCTTTACGAAACGCCTCCCTTCCATCACCTTGTGTTAGTTACGCAGCGCGGTGGGAGGAGAAGGGGGAACCGTGTCAGCACCCCACCCTTTGCTGCTCTAGATTCACTCGGCGGGATGCAAAGCACTGACCCCAGCACAGATTTGGCCTGCTGCCCCTCGGTTAAGAGAAATTGAAACCCGATGTTTAGTGTTTGATCATGCTTTTCCTATTGTTCCTGCCTCTATCACAGTAATTACTCTCTCTTGAGGGTCATTCAGAGTTCAGCTCTGTGGAGAAACTGTTATTCTTGATTAAAGGCCTAGCTGCTTTGTCAAACATCCTTGTCTAATTGTACTTTGAAAGACATGTCACAGTATTCCAGAGCTTTTCAGTTAGCTACTGAGACATCTATAATTGTTCCTTTGGATGTCGAAGGAGAGATGAGGAATGTCAACAGCAAGGGCAAGGAATACAGCAGTTACCTGGAGAAATGGGTAAGCCTGGTAACACAAAAAGCTCACCAGTCCTGAGCGAAACTGAAACATAGACAAAAAGGTAAATGAAAATATATTGGATATTGCACAAATGCTGTTGAACCAACCATGTAAGAACATACTAAAACTCTGTTTTTCTGGCTATACTTATAGCACACAGTATTACAAACTGTTGCAATGTTAGGAGCCTCCTGCTGCTTGGTATATGCCTTAAATTACCAGTTCCTTTGGGCATCTGGTTATTTCAGAATTTCTGTTTTACTTATATTTACAAAAGCACTTCTCATAGAGAAAAATGGTTGTACCCTTCAGAAACAAAATGCAGTTTTATTTCATGAACCAGGTCCCCTCTATTAATCGATTGTAGAGCACCAAGCCTTTTTTTCCCAAAGTTGCTTTGGTTCAAGTCCTGATTTTGTGAGGTTTGGACTGGCAATAGTCAACAAACGCAGGTTGCTTCTGTTTTTGTTGTGGGTCTGCAGGGTCCATCTGGCACTGCCCAAGCTGGAGAACCAGGAACTCCAAAGGGAAGGTTTTCCTTTGCAGCCATTCTGCACAGCGGAGTGAGGCATGAACTGTGTCAAAGAGGAACTCTGTTGGCCACCCTTTTGCAGAATAAATGTTGGCACATCTGTTAGGAAAGACAAAGAGAAATCCTGGCACCAAAGAAACCCCAGGGTCTGACACTACTGAACACAGACCAGCTCTGCTTTCTGCAGTTATATGTGTTCAACTGAGTGAAGTGTTGATGACCAAGGAAGAGGACAGCATGACATTGACCGACATGCAACTCCTTTCAGACACTGAAAAAAGCTGTCAGGCATCCGCCAGTTCTCCAGATAACGTCTCTGTTTTCTGTGGGAGGGAGCAGGAACGTAGAAGGACCAGGGGAGAGAACCAGGAATTTTGATATTGATGCTTGAGGACCATCAGTGCTCAGGACCTCTAGCACCTGGCTAAGTCACTTAGCAGAAAGGGGCCAAGCTGACTTCTGAGCTGCAAATCCAGCAGACTCCTTGGCTCGGGTTGACTTGTACTTGGGGAGGAAACTCTAAGTGGAGATCATCAGTGACCTTAAGTATCACAGTGACAGAATGTCGAAGTGCCCAATGCACTTTTTTGGGGGCAAAAAGCAGGATGTGGCAGACTGGGCACTGCTGTTGCTACTGGCAATGGGATGGCTCTCCCCTGCCATGCGGTGCTTGTGGCCAGCGAGCTGCAGTCTTTGAGACCTCTTCCTCTCTCTCAAACTGAATGTAAGCTTTGCCTCTAGGTTCAAAAGCTGGTGGTGTGAGCAGGAGGGCAGAGACCGTTTTCTGGAAAGTCTGTCTGCAGTGTGCAGGAAGGGGTTGAGAATTGTTCCTTGGAAAATATTCCTTTGCCTCAGCTGCAGCTTGGGAAAGCTGTAGGCAGTGGTTTGATGAGGAGAAAACTTTTGGTTGAAACTCCATAGAGACACTTCCCCATCTGTGAGGAGCCAGTACGCGGGGCACTTCCCAGAGAGAGAAGAAACCCAGGCTGAAGGCTCTGCTTCATAAAACTGAAGACAGAAACTTTTCCACCTCTGTGCCCAGGCTGTCACCTCTCTGGGGGCAAGATGGCCCTTGTCTTGGGGAGGATGATCTGCCTAAGGAGGAGGATGAACCTTCTCCTTGCAAAAGGTGCCAGCACCCTTCACATTACTGAAGCGAGTCTCCTCTGCTTCCTCAGTCTTTTCTGCTGGAGTGGCTTTGTGGCATGAATTAATCATTGGGCCAGTGACAGACTGGCATGTGAGAAGAAACTGAAACCCTGGGTAAGGGCTGGAGGCAGAACAGGGCCGGCTGAATGGGCATGCTGTGGCATCAGAGGCGAGAGGGAACGCAGCTGTGTCATCCTGTACCTTGCACGATGTCCGCTTGCAGAAATAACCATGAGATCACCAGGACTGCACTGAGAGCGGACTTACTGCCTGCTGGTGTGAGTTCAAGCCACCCTGGATACCTTAACTCGAATGAGGTGACCCAAGCAGGGCTAAGACTTTGCTTGCTTGTTTGTCTGCAAGGTCAAAGCTACCTGAGTCCCAAAGGCACTGTTTTTCCTTCTCACGGTGCTTCCCTTGAGTGATAGCGTGAGGCACAGATCCTGCATGTGCTGCACGGGGCTGGTTGGGCATCTCCAGTGGCTGGGAGCTGGGGCACTGCCTGGTGGAGGCCTGAGGTGGCAGGGTCAGAACAGGGTGGTGGGAAGAGACCTGGCAGGTATGTTGGAGGTGCAGTGGACTGGTTTAGGCCGGAGCTGGCTGTTCCCGTTGGCAGCAGTCACTGACAGTGCAAAAGAGAGTCTTCACTTCTAAAGACGCTTAGGTGAGCTCTAACCTTGAGTTTTAAACTGATGCAGTCTGGATCCAAGGCCAGTTAGGGAAAATGTAAATGGAGACAGACTCCTGCAGGTGCTAGCGGCTCTGGCTCATGTCCCAGTACTGATGTCTCGGTCCCCTCTCTGATGCTTTCAGTGGTCCTCTTGCCCTTCTCTAGCTGTAACAACTACCCCGGCACCCTGTCGCTGTTGAATTAGTTGCACAGTTTGATGCCAACCGCAGGGATTCTTCCAGTGATAACTCTCACGCTGGGTATTGCCAGCGTGCAGGCAGCCTTTCCAGTCAGCACGCAAGCCCCTTCCTTTTCATTATGAGGCGTGCTGCGGATGTTCAGGCGAAAAACATCGCCCTCGCTTAACCTAACAACTCCACGAGGCTGAAGTCTTGCTTGAGCTCGCTCCCCCACACTGTACTAGGTCCTGTCTTTCCAAACTTAGAATTCCTGGCGGGATGGAGGAGATGGGCTTGTGGTTATGAGAGGCGACTGGAAGGCAAGCTATCCGTCTGGGAAGCCACCCCTGCCCCGCTGACCTTCGGCGGAGCAATTAGTGCAGATGAGGTGACACCAGTGCTGTGGGGGCAGATACAGGACATGACACACGGCGTTTTGTGCCGGGAGCCACATTTGTAGCCCAAAATGCTCTGTGGTTTTAATTTCCCCGCTGCAGCAGAGGGAAATAAGTGCTAGAAAAACCCATGAGGAGGCAGAGCCTGGGAAGCCTCCGGCTTCCCGGATCCGTGCAGGACAACATCCTCCTCCACCCGTACCCCCACAGAGGGCCGTGGGCAGCGCGATGCCAGTGCCGTGTCCTCCCCTGCCTCCTGTCCCCTTCCCGAGGGACGGGGTCACAGGGCGCGCTCCCGCAAGCAACGACGGCTGCGGGGCACAGGCCTCTGCTCAGCGCCGGGAGGGTTCAGAGGCTGCTGAAACCCTCTCCCCCACCTCCTCCTCCTCCTCCTCTTCCTCACAGCGCTGGCCTTTCTGAAGGGAACAGAGAGCCGCGCCAGGAGGGACTTCGGAGGGGAGCTTCCCCCGGGGCGTCGGGCACCTTGCCCGGCTAGCAAGCCTGCCCCAGGGCCCGCCGGGTGCCCTCACAGGGGGGCCTGGCGCTGGGGGTGCTCCTCATG